CCACCCTCTGGCCATTACGGCCAACCCGCCCCTCCCTAAGGGCAATAATAATTTGTCTCGGACCTGCGCCCGGCCGCCGACGTGAAACTCTAAAAGTTAAGGCGGTGCAACTCAAAATAGTGCTTAAAAAAAAATAAATGTGACTACGCACTGCTGTTGTATCGTCGGGGAGAATTCAACGCAGGCGATACTCGATGCCATCGTGCTCCGCGTTTTAGAAATATCTCTGGTTACTAGGTTTAATTTATTTCGTGCATTTAATTTATAGAAGTTGTAAATGGTTTTGATGAGTTCGGGTGTGTTTTCAGTTTTGGTCTTTGATAACGCAAAAAAAAATCTTCAAAGCGCTTCACCTCCTTCTGAGCTCTTTTGCAGCGTCGTTATTGAATCTTTACCACCGTGTAAACGCTTATTGGACCGAGTGAGGTGAGGGAATGTACGGTCGAGCTAAGGTGTGTGAGGGGGGGAGGAGGAGGAGGAGGCACCGAACGAGCTGAACTTCCCCAACAGCAGTCGCTGCGCCCCAGCAGCTCCAAAGTAAGTGTCCCAGACGTTTTGATGATGCTCTTCAGGGGGGTCGGTGGGGGGACGGCGCGAGGCTTTGCGGGCGCGCCAATAACGACCTCGTTGGGTGTGCGGTCGGGAGGATCGTTGCGCTGGTCAGGCGAGCCCGGCCGGGCGAGGAGCGGAAGTCGGGCCGGACAGGATGGTGGGGGTCACGGGGGTGCAGCGGCGCGGCCCGCAAGTGGGTCAGCACGCGCCGCCCCCGCGCCGCCCCCGCGGGCCGCCCGCCGAAAAACTGTGGTCGTGGAAAACAGGCCCTGATTTCGGTATCTTTATTTAGGAATGGGGGAATGAGACCAGGCCAGGGGGTAAGGTGTTTGTGCGAGGCGGCGAGGGGGGTGAATGCGATAGGATAGACCAGTCGGGACGGGGTGTGGCGGGGCGAGGTGGGTCAGGGTGCGCGGACAGCGCGCGGTGTACGCACGGCACAGCGCGCAATGTGGGTCAACCCGCTTTATCAGCCCGGCCCCGCCGGCTGGCCCTCGCCTCTGGCTGGCCTCTGCGCCAACGCCATGGGGCCGCTGCGCTCGTGTCGGGTCGGGCCGGCTCGGGACGATAAATTAGACCGGATTAAAGAGTAGCTGAGTGCGGAACCTTTAGGCGATATGTGGCTGAGGCCCGGGGGGTCGGCGAAGCGCGGCGAGTGGCTGTGGGGCGGGGCGGGGCGAGGCGCGGTGCCAAAGACAAAGGCATAAACTCGTCAGCGCGCCACCCAAAACACCATCCTGGCGAGATCTGATAACTCGGCCAGACATAAAGTGCGAGGGGCGAGGGCGAGGGGGTTGTCTGGCCGGGGGACCGGCGGGGACCTCGCGCAGACGACGACAACAACAGGAAGGGGAGGAATTCGACGGAGTGGAACGACACCGCGGCAGGCGAGGCGACGACCCTCACCAACCACCACTGCTCCTCCGCCCACAGGTAGGCGAGGCATGGTGCTGCGGCTGCTGGTGCTGCTGCTGCTCGCCGCCCCCGCCCTCGCCAACTACCCCCTCTTCGATGTGGCAACGCGCATGCGGGTGCTGCTGGTGCCCCGGGACGCCGCCGTGGGCGCAGTCATCTACCGCCTGCGGGCCACGGACTCGGACTTCGACTACCCGCTGCACTTCGACGTCGGCGGTGATGGGGGTGAGTGAGCGAACGCCGGCGGGCGCTGGCGGGGCCTCCTGACCGAGGACACAGAGGCACTGATTGTTGTCCGTCCTCAGCCGGTGCGCAGGTGGCGGTGGTGCGGCTGGACAACCTGCCCTGCACGCGGAACATGTCGTACTGCCAGGCCAACGTGGTGCTGGCCCGCAAGCTGGACGCGGGCCGGGTGTACGACGTGCGCCTGAGGGTGCGCGACTCGCGAGGTGACGCGACCTCCATCGACGCCATCGTGCAGCTCAGCAACAACTCGACGCCGGTGGACGCCACCTTCCCGCGCAGGCCGACACTCGTCATGGTGCCGGAGGACACCAAGCCGGGCACCGAGCTCGACTACGTCATCGTGCGCAAGAACCCCCGAAACAGCCGGCACGCTATCGTCGAGTTGTGGGTAAGCGTTTTCGTGGCGGTTCGCTTAGCCCCTATGAGTCCTCTCGACCTCTCCGTGCCGACGTCAGCTACTGTGTTTTGCCTCCAGGGGTCGCCGCTCTTCACCCTGGCCCAGAGGCTGAGCTCCAGGACAGACACCAACGCCAGCATCATCCTGGCTGGGCCCCTGGACTACGAGACGCAGGCCATGTACACCCTAGACCTGTACGCACTGGTAAGTGTCTTTCAGCCCTCCCACATGACAGTGCCGTGCTGATGCGAGACCTCAAGGTCCACGAGGTTCAACTCCCCGCCGCCGAGGTCACCGTTCATTTTATATTTAGCGACCGCAAGGGGGGCCATTCAGCAGGGCAGTGAATTTCTTCCTCATGATTGTTTTAAGGACCCGTTCGTCGAGCCCGGCCAGGACACGCGCAACATCGCGGGCTTCCAGGTGGCCGTGGTGGTCGTGGACGTGCAGGACACGCCACCCGAGTTTATCGAGGCGCCCCCCGTCACGCAGCTCAGCCCCACCCTGCAGGTGGTAAGTCACGACAGATAGTGAGGACCAACAGTTCAATTTGTGTTCTGAGAGCGACGTGCCCCTCAGTAGTGTACGTGTGTCTCCCTGCCCAGGGTGACGAGGTGGTGCGGGTGCGCGCCGAGGACGGCGACAAGGGCAAGCCTCGTCAGATTCGCTACGGCCTGGTGTCTGAGGGGAGCCCCTTCACGACCTTCTTCACGGTGGACGAGCGCACCGGTAAGCGTCACACCGGACCGACGGGACGAGGGGTAGCTTCGGTCTTCGCCGGCGTCCAAGGCGGTAGCGGAGGGCAGTATCGTCCGATCTCCACCTCCCCTTGCCCCGCGTGGCCCCGATACATTCTAATGTGGCTGGCTCACCGAGGCAGGGGCAGCGGTGGCAGCAGGGGTAGGGGGGGGGGGGCACCGGGGGCTCTCGGAGGGTCAACAACACTGCCATAGCGCCCCCGGGGGCCCTGCGGCCCTTCCGCGCTGACCACGTCACGTGACTATGCGGTTGGTTCTCAAGAAACCGCACCTCACCCCAGCTACGGCTACCGTCCACCCCTTCCTGGCCCCCGCTTCAAGCCCGTCACTCGTCCGGGCCGCCCGCCGCTCCGCCCTGTCACGGGGCGCCGCCCGGACTTACGGAATGGTTGATGAGGCAAACAGGAGGGGGGGGGGCTCGTCTTGTCACCCATGGCGCGAGGACATGGGGAAAGAGGGCGTCACGGAAGGCGCAGCTAGAGGAGAGCGATCCTAAAAATGGCGTTCGACGTTTTCGATTTACAGACGTCCAGGAGGATACTGATGTGTGTGGGTGTGTATGCGTGTGTGTGTGTGGAGGGGGAAGGGGGGGTATGCGGCACATTATTTCTCCCTCCCACTCCTCCCCTTGTTGAACTCTACCTGGAGGGGAGGCCCCGCCCGCTCCGCCCCGCCCCGGCCTAAGGTGGCAATAAAGATCTCGGCCTCCTGATACGTTGGCGAAAGTGATGGTCGCAGCGGTAGCAGGGGGGCCGAAGGTATCGGGG